AGAATATACCATCTAGGGAGTCTTTCTGCTGTGCCTTTTGCAATCGGCCATGCCTATCTCGTATTGGCCTTTTTAGCCACCAACACGCTTGCAACAAATGTGGTTAGAGCCCTTCCCAAATCTTCGTTCGCGAAGCCTAGCCATGATGATGATGATGATTGCATTTTAAATCCGCCTTCACTTGGTCTAGATATGTAACACTTGTGCTGTAGAAACTTTTCAGGGATATCAACCCAGGTTTGGGTGCAGAGCACCCAAACACAAATTGTGAAACAAAACAAAGTGTCTCCTAATAAGGAAGTTAAAGATCCCGGAGGTTATGCACAAAGTATAGGGAAGAACCTTACATTCTACTTAACCTCTCTTACAAAAAAGACTGAAGACTTCAATAGGAAAACCAGAAATATAATGGATTGATTGCCTTGCTTGATATCCAAATACAGCAGAAAATGCTAGTCTCTGCTTAAGGATATGCTCTGTCCTGGTTCTCATCTACATCATGGATGACCTTCTACTACCACCACACGTAGTCAAGAGACAATAGGTGGTGAAGATCAAGTTGCCCAGAGCATCCCAGGGAAGATGAATTTCTGGTTAATGAAATGCACACAGGTAGATGGTGTTTATTTCACTGCAGCTGTACCCCACAAAAGGTAAGTGAAAAACTAACTTAAGGTTAAAACCTAGTGTTTTTTTTCCTCCTGTTGTGCTTCCATTTTAGTGGAGTAGGTGTAAAAGGAAAGGGAATGTTCCTTCTTTCTGTGATTCTTTTATTTCTGTGTTGTCCAAGTTTAGCAGTACTTATTGTTCACTGTACTGAGATTGCTAAGTGGAGGTATTTTCTACTGATCGAGTCAATAGGTTGATAGGTTACTGGTATAAGGAACCACATGAATTTCAAAAAAAGGCTTTTAATAAAGTCCTAGGATAAACACATCATTTCATCATTAAACTCAAATTTATCAAATAAATTCATTAAATAAATTGAAACCTTGGAGCAAAAAATGGAATTAGACCCTGTGATCATGGCATATGCTGAAGTAACTCACCAAGCCAGCATGGTATATGTAACATCATTATGTCGATTCCAATTTGAACCAGAGATGTAGGGCATCACTCATCTCTTTATGGTCTTGAAGCCAACTCAGAATCACAGAGGTTCCTTTGGCTCCCACTCTTTTTCAGTAATCCAGTGCTGGCATCAAGTGTCTTCTGAGAAAATCTTCACACCTCTGCCTCACCAACAGCAGTAATGCACAAGACACCCCAGGAACATGAAGGCGATGGGACGCACTGGCACTCAAGTGAGATTTGACTGAGCACCAGCCTGATGTCCCTCCAGGCACACAGGCTTGCCTCCATGCAATCACTGCCCACTGTGTGATTAGTCCCTCCTCTGTTGGCTGCTCTCTCATCAAAGAATCATAGAATCAATTAGGTTGGAAAAGACTTCCAAGATCCTCCAGTACAACCTTTGACAGATCACCACCCTGTCAACTAGACCACAGCACCAGGTATACCAGATCCAGTCATTTCTTGAACACTTTCAGGGGTGGTGACTCTGCCACTTCCCTGGGCAGTCCATTCCAGTACTTGACAATCCTTTCAGCGAAGAAATTCTTCCTGATGTCCAATCTGGACCTCCCCTGGCACAGCTTGAGGCCATTTCCTCTTGTCCTGTCACTAGTTGCTTGGGAGAAGAGACCAACTCCCACCTGGCTACAACCTCCTTTCAGGTAGTTGTAGAGAGCAACAGGGTCTCCCATGAGCCTCTTTTTCTCCAGGCTAGATAACCACAGCTCCCTCAGCTGTTCTTCATATGATTATCTCTCTAGATCCTTCACCAGCTCCATTTCCCTTCTTCAGACACACTCCAGCAACTCAACCTCTATGACTTTCCTGAGTGAGTGGCCCAGAACTGGACACAATACTTGAGCTACGACCGGACTACTGCCAAGGCAGCAAGAGCCAGGACCGTAGGAAGGAGCAGCTGGGTGTCTCATACAGTCTTGCACACACGCATGGCAATATCCAAATTCCCCCAGCAAGGTCCTTTCTGTGAATCCCACTCTGGAACCACAAGGGACAGGTAACCAAGGCACAACTACAGAGAAAACACCTTTTCTGACTGACATATTCACGTGTCCTGCAGGGAAGCATTCAATATACCTACAAGGAACAGGTATATATCCTTGGAATCCACAGTTGATTTAATCTTAGTTTCAAGAAAGTTTTGTGGTAATTGCCTTGTAAACACTCATTACCATTAACAAAGAGGACTCACCAAGACCAGAATACTTAGCTATCGCATGTGACAGTTTCCCACAGTGAAACAGCAACCTGAGGAGCAACCCCACTCTCTTCATCATACATTGTACAGTCTGGTCCCCAAAGGGTTAAGCGAGATCCTCACACATCACCACAACGGAGTTTTTCTGTTGCCACTGGTAAGCGCTGGAAGCTGATGTTGGATAAAGTCAGATTAAAAACGAGGTGTGTGCTTTCAGAAGCACAGGTAATTACTAGCATAGCTGTGGAAGGTCCTTCATCATGATCAATTTTTAAATCAAGATGATGTTTGTTTGAAATATGGGCCCAGATTTAAAGAGGAAGCAATTCAAAGCAGTCTCATAGCCCTTCTAAGACAACAGTATCCCAAAGCTTTATCAGCAAAACATGACAACTCGGCACTCTCTGGTTCTGACAGCTCAGCACTCACCATCCTGGTCAAGGGCCAGGCCAACTCCAGACCCTGTTTCTTCCACTCCACAACTGACACAGTCTTCATGATCCCCCAGCCACACATGAAACTTTTTTTTTCATAACCCTTAAACCATGCCTCACTTTTGCCCTTGCACCAAACCTAGAGCCAAGAGCAGATACCAAACAGGAACAGCAAAAAACCCAGATATCTTTCTATGGGTTTTGGAAAAGTTTGTCTGGTGTTCAGCATCCTAAGTGGCTTTGGCCACTACGTTCAGAAGATTCAAAATGTCATCTTAGTTTGCAAATTTTCAAAGTAGAAATCACATCTCCCTGTATATACATATGCTGCAATGGAGGTACAATTCTAGGGACTTCGGGCACTATAAACAACACACACACAGACACCACAATTTCAAATTCATACTACTGGGATCACACTTTAGTTCCCTCTCCATGTTTCCCAGTTATGATATTCATCTTCCCAAATAGCTCCATGTGCTGTTTTTAGTAATCACATCCTTCAAACACTTGTCCCTGTTATGTATACCAACATCTACATATTCAAAACAGTCTCCAAAGCACATGCTAAACATCTGTTTCAACCAGCTCTCTTTAGAGTTTAAGCTGTTTGCTGGAAAACTGCCATCCTAATGGCCAGCTCCTCTGTTAGTGAACTGGAGAATTCATTTTGTATTTATTGATTGTTCCCTAATGAAGAGTCATAAAGGTGCCAGAGACTCTTGACCAGACACTACTTAATTAGTACCAAAGTGCATAAAATCCCAAATCAAACCGAGCTCTTTGTACAATGGCTCAGCCAATGGAAAAAGTGACATCATTTTCTGCTAATACAGAAGTTCATAAAATTTTATTAAAGAACTCTAAGGAAATTAAAAAACTATATAGGTCATTCATTTCCTTCCAGTTTCTAAGACACCAAATAAGGTCTTCCAGAATCAAATAACACTTTGCTAAAGGAATTAATCTTCATAAAGGACCCAGCAATACATATCATGCACAGAATTTTATTTTAAACTAAAGAAAGGCAGATACAGGTGAAACTTTTGTCTTCTGAACACTAAAGAGAAATGTTTCTGTTACATACAAAGATATGATGCAAAGTATCCAGAAGATAATAAAAATTACCTCTAAGGGATCTGTCTCTACATCATTGTGGCTCATACAATAATTTAGTTTTTACATTCCCTCAAACTACAGTGTATTGGAGTATTTTTTGAGGGTACTTGCTCTCAAAAAGGCAGAGAGGTGAGCAAAAACTCAATTAAATGTCAAGCTTTTTTCTCTCAAACTTATAGCCTCAAAAACACCCTGAATAACTGGTATTTCCTTGCAAGTGTTTCAAATTAAGTCATCCTGAAAGCTAATTCCCTCTCTTCCATATAATTTTAATTCTCAATTAAATAACTGAGAAAATAGCAGAAAGGGAAAGAGCCAACTAACAGAAGGAGACAAAAGCCCATCCCTACAAGGCAATAGCATTGCTGCTTCTATTACATTGCTTGTTGAAGGCACATGTCTTCAGATTAGTAAAGTGGCATGGATTCCTTGGGATAACGCAAGATATACACAAGGAAAGAAATTGTCATGATAAAACAAAATCCATTTAATACATATGCCCTCACAGTAATCTACAATTACTGATGTAAGCATTACCATATATGCAAGAAAATATCCTTCCATTTTCCTAAAACCTATCACTCCAATGCCAAGTTCTGCAAAAAAATGCAAAATCCTATTCATGATCTGCCCTGTATTCAGCAGCTGATGTGATACCAGTTTTAACCATCTGAAGGTTCTAGTCCTCTTATCCTAATGATAAACAAGTGTATTTCACCCCAGAGAGAGCACGTTTGCACAAACAGAAAATGGAGTAGGACAAGCATATAAAGGTTGAAACAACCACAGTAACGCAAATATCCCAATAAGGCAGAATAGCAAATATATTTATATGGACTTCCCAGACATAAGAATTTGGCTTCTTTACAACAGTCCATTCTTTTTTCCTGTTTTTTTTTTGTTTGTTTGTTTGTTTGAACTGCACCTTTTTATTTATAGTTGTAAAATTATACCAACACCATCCCAGCTATCCTAGATAGTTTTAGTAAGTCTTCTGCAGAGTTTTTTTCTAGATCTCACCAGTACAACTCCCAAGAAAATAAGCTCCAGAACAGTGGAAATAAAGAAAAACACAGAAAAGAAAATGAGAGGGACAGCTAACCACAGAGAAGCTGGGGAAGGGTCACCAGAGTGAGGTCACACAAACGTCTTCTTACCCCTTGCTCAGATTCCAGCAGCTCTGTTTTCACTCTGACTGCCGGCATCCCATCAAGCATTAACATTCTGTTCTCAAAGGCGCTGATGTCCTAAAACAAAAAAGGACAAGGTTAATAAGAAAAAAAAAGAAGAAAACCTTGTTTTAATTCACTGATTTAAGTTCTATGATACTATACAAGTAAGTTTCTTTTAGTGGAAATGAAGTTAACAAAGATATAATAGTTATTTTAAGGAGGAGATGCCAAGTTACTACTTCTGCCAAGTTACTATTTCTGTTAAAAAAGTGAATTATACTTTTAGTTACCCTTAAAAGAGAACTAAGTTTCTGTAAACAATAAAGAAAAATCATCTCCAATTACTATTTTGTAATTTGAAATTAATCACACAGGTGCACATATATTAGTTCCTTGCTTTAGAACTGGAAAAGAGACCAGTGATGTCAAATCATTTGAAGTTTTTGGGAGTATACTTAGGTATAGTTGATTTGAATCAAAACATTTGTACTTCTGTACTACCTAGAGAAAGCATACGCTTATGTTCAGAAATGCTACAGGGAAGGTCTGTACATACACACACTATAAATTAAGACACTATAAATTAACAGAACTCCTCATATTTCTTATCATTCATCGTATTTTAAAGTTATCAGCATTTGTCAACTAAAATGCACCTCTGACACAAGACAGAGAAAAAAGCATGTTAAAAACATGCACTACCCACATAGTAATGGGCAATATATGCCAAGAGCTTCAAGCTGAAGAAAAATTTCCTTTCCTGAATCAACATTCCCACTGTGTAAGTCTCATCCTGCTGTTGCTGAAGCAGTTTATGGAGATATACAAAACTTCTTGTGCCTTCAGTTCAAATACTACCTCAACCTGCGTCAATTTTCTACTCCAGTCAAGGCTCAATGATGGTGTTTGAAAGCAAGTACCTTCAGCTGTCATTTAGTTTGGATAACATACAGACAATAGAATCAGACCTTACAAATCCAGACACCTTGGGTCAGTGGTACAGAAACACAGAGATGCCTTAGCTATTTTTCAAGTAGAGAAGCTAAAGCACGCATCACTTAAAAGTGGCTCATTCACAGTCAGTTATTTACATGCAGCCCTGTTTGGAAGTCAGCACTCTAAACTGGAAACTCACCTCTGCTCTGTTACCTCGTACTGCTCAGTAACTGCACTGTAATGGAAAAAAACACTTTTTCCCTGTGTTTCATGGGCAGCAGATCTGTTCAGCACTGAGTGGTGCCATTATTCATAAGGAGTATGTCATATGCCTATTTCTTATAATGATTGCTGCAGAGGAATTTTAAGGAAAATGGTTTGTCCTAATGAAGCTTCCAAAACACATTTTAAAAACTTAAATTACTTTAAATATTTCCTTTTTTCCTGATACACCCCATCCCAGGACTTTCATTTTCAGGGATATAAGCATCGCAGAAGCTGTTTACTTTTGTATTTATTGTAATTTAAATAAAATGTTGAAAAGCAGGGAAACTGATATGCACATGCTCCAACATGGTGCCACAAGCAGAAGCAAATGACCTGTTTAAAATCCCTGTCGTCCTCACTTCGAACTCTGCGTGGTTTGACACTACAGGGTAGGCAGGAACTCAATGACAAAGCAGATAAGCAAATGCAATCTCTATTTTTTCCTTTAAAAGTAGATTCAGGTAATTGATAAAAAGCTCTAAATGCTTAAGTTATAAAATTTCAGATGAAACAAGTCATTTTCAGCGGAACACCTCTGCGTTCAAACGTGTGAATGAAGACTACTCAAGCTACTGAGACATCCCAGTCCACGCTATGCTTCTTCTGTGCATCTACTGTATTTTTTAAACTTGACAAAACAGGAAGAAGAAAAAAAGTTCTTCCTATGTCTTCTGAGCAAATAATTTTGTGCAACTTGATCTTTATTCAGTGTTTGAGGCATGAGGTGGACAAAAAGCAGGAGGGTCTTCAACGCCACAAAGAAGCTGGATGAAATTACTCTTGGCTTTACATCCTTCTTCCCAGGAAGGGCAGTGCACTGTTTACTCATTAGCAGCAGATCTCAAGTGTCACTGAGCTCCACTGTGGGGTGAAGAAGGCAGGACCCAGCGTGGCATTCCTGGCTTCCCCAGTGCCTATTCTGCAAGAAAAAGCAGTTCCTCTCCTTTCTTGATTTATAGGAAGCACAGCTGAGTTTTACAGCAAGATCAGGAATACAGCATCATGAAGCATCCCTTAGGCTGTTTAGCTCATAGACAAAGAAGAATGAACTGATATTGCATCGTGTCCCTGAGGAAGTCTTACCCGCCTGAGCGAAGGGACAAGGCCAGCTTACACAGGAGGCACGAGCTGGAGGAGGGGAGAAGACAAAGCGCCACAGAGGAAAGGCAGGTTTAATGAACTGTTAGAATCTGATTAGAGGCTAATGTCCCTTTTAGTGCTTTGTACCAATTTACAGCTGATATACTTGAACCATTTTTACCCACTGGCTGTGATAAACTCATTAGTTTTAAAAATGCAAGCTAACCAGAGCCTTTGAAGTTTAAAACTGATAAATCATGGAAACCTGACTGGTTCATGTACCATTTAACACATTTACATTTAACTAAGTTTTCATAGTCTTCACTTCCCCTTTTGTTCTCCAAAAATCTTATTTCTTAAAAGCAACCTTTCAAGTGCTAGTCTGAAGAGCAAATGCTCTGGCTGAGAACAGCTCTGGCTTTTGGGCAATTCACAATTCAGAGTAGCAATAATCACAGGAGTAAATTCTTTCCAAACTATTTGATCCCTTCTGCATTTATAACTGGAAGTACATTGTGTGACACAACCTGGGGGGCCACTGCCAAGTAGTTCCAGTCTGTGTGCTATACACAGGGATAACACGTTCAGCCCTAGAAAGCTGATCTTTCCCAACTGCACTCTCCTGCCATAACCAGTTTTGCACTACAGTATGTTCAAAGCCATGCAGCAAATAGGATGTAATTGCTGAGGTTTGCATTCAGTGGGCTGTCACCTAAGGCAAAGGGGCTTGACTCATTCTCACAGGGGCTGGATGTGTTAATTGAATTCTCCCAGGAGCCTCTAAGGTCAGACAAGCAGATGGAGCATCCACACCTGAGTGAGGCCAGGCTGCTCCAGTGCCCCACGTTAACTGATGACACTCCTGAGAACCACCAGCAGAGACTGGTGATATGACATATTGAGTCAATGAATTATTCAAGCCACAGTCCTTTCCTGGTTCACTCAATCCTCTTCATCAACTGTGGTAGCTAACTTCCACTCCCAAAATCACCCAGGTGAAGGTTACCTAAATTCGTGTGACAGTCCTTCCTTCTCTATTCCCCCACCTCAACCCTCCTGATGGACTCCAGTTACCTGCCTAGGTAAAGCACATAGCAAATGTAGGTACTAAACTGGGCATATAATGAAGCCAAACACTGCATGACCTTACCAGAACATCTGTTTTCTTGGATAAGTAATTCATCCTAAAAGAGATCGCAGTCTTTCTCAGTGCCATCCACTGGAGCCTTTCACTAATCACTTTCAGACATTTAGTCCCTTGAAACATTAATTAAAAACACAAATCATACCTAAGTCCATACAGGCAGCTGCTATTAGAGCTGTTGTTACCGAAGGCAGATAAGTTTTCAAGCTTACAGGCTCTTCTTCTGAGAAGGTATGGCAATCAGTTTAATAACCAGAATCTCCCCCCTCCTAAAAGGCCTACATTTTCAGTACAGCACCACTGTAACCATAACTAGCATTTTCTTAATAAGGATGATTTTCTGCTGCAACTTTTAATCAAATTTATCTTTGGCTACTTTAGAGGAAGAAAAAACCAAAAACCTCATTACCTCACCTTATACAACACCTTCACCCCCCACAGCATCCTATAGTGTTTATTTAATTATGAATTACACTATTATGACATTTGGCTCCATCCACAAGAAGGGCTAAGGTTTTATAGCCAAGTTTTTAATTTGGCCAAGCCATAAATATTGAGAATCATACTGCAAACTTTTAACAATCACAGAGGAGCTGGTGCAAAAACCACTCTCCTGTCCTGAGACACCACCAAAGACATCCCTAAACTCCGTTCATAATCTCTTCTAAGCACAAGATGACACGAAACTGCACGTCCCCATCCCACATCACAATTGTCTCTCCCACTCTCCAAGATTTTACCATCAAACTGCTCAGTACTAAAGCATGATAGGTTCAACCCCATGCCATCCCAGGAAGAAAGCAGTGAGCTCAGGCTTCAGAGTACCCAGAAAACTTAGACCTCACACTTCCTGCATGGACTAACAAACATTACCTTCCTTCCTCCTCTTGTTCCATTTCATGAACACAAGCAATACACAGAGGCAAGGCAGATGATGCTAATTACTGCTGCCACTGATGAAAGTTACAGGCTTACTTAGTCACACTGAAGAGCTGTATACCGGCAAGACAAAGCCACGGATGTTCTGCCTTTTCATGACGACCTATAACGTTCAGCTGATAATCCAAAACTTTGTAACTGGTGGCTTGACCTTTGCTGTCTACCACATGCCCATCCAGTCATCATTGCACTCCTCCTCAAAAGGACAGGGGAAGAACACAATATAGAAAAGCTTAGGGGCCGAGATAAAGACAAAAACATTATTTATGAGGTACTGACACAGGCAAAACAGATTTGACTTGGGGAAAATTAATTTATTGCCAATTAAAACAGACTTTGATGGTGAGAAATAAAGACAAAAACTAAACAACTCCACCCACCCTCCCTTCTGCTCAGGTCCAACTTTATTCCAACTCTTCCTTCACTTTTCTGCACAAACTTAACTTTAACATGACACACGCTCATTTTGAGAAATGAAGTATCAGCTGGGGGAGGAGCAGTCTTAAATTCAACATTCAAGCTACAATAAAAGTTTCATGTTTAAGGGAGGATGTTTTAACAGCTAAGAGCAAAGAACAACCCTTAGGCAGTCTTTCTGTTCCAAAGCTATGACGTATAACTTTACCTGCCTCATATTCTATTATTTTTACACAAGTTTTCCGCACATGCAATAATTTCTTAATTCATCATTATATTTTTATTTCATGGC